GCCACTGATACACGTTAATTTTGAGTAATTTTATTTCATTCCATTTGACGGTTTTGAAGATATTAAAAAAAATTTATTTTTATTTTTAAACGCCCTCGAGGAAAATATGTTACATAGAAGACCCCCCCCCCTTAAAACGAGGTCCTGTGATTGATGCTGTATTGTTGGTCACGACCTGTGAATTATCCTGTACAGTTCAAACCTTGCGAAATGACGAACCCATACTGCTTAGCAAAGTAACAATTCAATACTGCAGACTTATCAGACTCTCAAATGTCAGAATATACTTACCTCTTTTAGCAGATTCGATAGCTTCAACAAGCAGCTTTTGGTTGACGCCACACAAGTTGGCGGTGAGCTTCTCACATTTCTTGTGTATATTTACATCGCACTCTGGTAAGTAATTTCATTTATCATTTTTATCAATATATCTCAAGTAATTGCGCAAAATGTGCCCATGTAAACTATCAAATCCATAGCAATTTTATATGTTTGTCTACCAATTATAATATATTTACGAGCCAGCGATGGAATGTTCTTTATGAATAGGTTTTTCTGTTGGTGTGTTCCTCTTTTTAGCTCAGGTGCTTTACGGCCTATATTTGACGCTCTAGGTACATAGACAGCTATTATTATTTTCATTCGCTTATACAGAGTGTTCCTTAATGATATGTGAATATTTAAGGGTTTTAATCTATATGAAAAACTAATGTTAATTTGCTTACAAACTATAGTCAAAAAATGTTTCCTTTCAAAAACTCGGGGTTTTGAAGTTTTAGGAAAAAAATCGAAATTAATTAATATTTTCAGAACCGCTTCAGATAGTTCACTGATATTTAGTACGTAGTGAATGTTGATAAAGTTGCATGTTTTTCAATGCAAAAATAATTCTTAGCTTTAACAGTGGCGTGCGTACGGATATTTTTTAAGAAAAAAATGGTACGCCAATAATTTTTTGCCAAATAAAAATTATTTTTGAATTCCCCGTTCAATTTAAAACAAATAATCTATCTTGAATTGTTTTTCTTCGATGCGCCATTTTTGAGTAAAAAAATAAAAACCATTCTATTGTCCAACTTACAAAATTATAATTAATTCAATTGGAAAATATATACAGATAAATCCGACTGGCTTGCTTAAAACTACCGTCGGCAACGCCATCTACGTAATGCATTTCCGCCATTTCTGCATTTGAATAATTCACCATTATTAACAAGATTGTAAAAACTAAATAATGAAAAAGATGTCACAGCGAAGATATTTAAATAACAGAGACTTGTCAGATGTCAAAAGCCAGTGACATATTCCAGAGCAACTAGATATTTATTGCCAAATTGACAATAGAACGGTTTTTATTTTTTTACTCAAAAATGGCACATCTAAGGGAAGCAACCCAAAAAAGATCATTTGTTTTAAATTGAACGGGGAATTTACGAATAATTTTTATTTGGCAATTAACCATTGGCGTATTATTTTTTTCTTAAAAAATATCGAAGTTAATACCCGTACGCAGGCCGCTGTTACAGCTGAAATTTATTTTTGCATTGAAATATATGCAACTATATTAACTTTCACTACGTACTAAATATCAGTGACATATCTGAAGTGGCTCAGGAAATATTAATTAATTTCCATTTTTTTCCTAAAACTTCAACACCCCGAGTTATTGTAAGGAAACATTTCTGGACCCATAAATATTCGCATATCCTTAAGGAACATCCTGTATTTATATGGCAATACAAAGACAATGAGGATATTTCTAGAACAGCACGTACATTCGAAAATAGATTGAGAATATAATTTGAATATTATTAAAATAATATTGTGCTGAGATGCGTATTTTCAAAACAGAACGAATTTACGTTTTAATACAAATTTTACCCTGTATATTCAAACATATTTCCCTCCTATTATGTATTTCTCCTTTTTTAATGGTCAACGTATCACAGTTTCTATGTCACTGCTCTAGTTTTTTGTCCGATTTGATTATATGGTACTACTCGTCCAGAACGTACGACATTTTGGGTCGATAACTTTTATCCACTCCAGAGATATACTTTCCTCTTTATTTAGAAATCATAACTTATAATAAATTTGGGCAATAAAATTGGGAATTTCGCATGTCATTGCCACTATTTTGAATTATCCAGTATAGGCTACAAATCAGAAGTGGGATTGTAACAGTTCTAAAATAAAATATACGTCAACTTGCAGGTGCATTCTAGGTAAATAGTTAGTGAATCATAAAGGCATGCAAAACCGTTAGAGAAATGCTCAAAATAATAGAGAATGCTTTCTTCAGACGTGTCGAACGCACAAAACTCTGCGTAATAAATCTTTCATCGAATGTTTGTTTTGCTGGCGAACTCCCATTCGTCAAAGTGCCAGACGGTCGTGGCGCATTAAAAAACATCGTGTTCGATTTATTTTTGCGAAAGCACTGATTGACGTTTCAGCGCGTGGTTTTTTGAGGAGGAAATGACCTATAAACAATAAAGGACGTAAGACTGGTTTTGAGGTCATGCGATACGCGAGGTTAATTAGTGTTTGAAACATGTTTCCGCAGGAGTACGAGATGAATTATATACTAAGTGACATATGAATCCGAACACCCAGTTTAAATGGTTTTATTCTAATAAAAGTTGGTGAATGTATTTATCTTACTGTAAATAACAAGTGAAAAAATTTTCAGCCTTATCAGTTGGACATTCCGGTTTTTATACTGCTTTTGTTTAATTCACTAACGCTCTAAAAATGAATATTTCAGCCGCAGTAAAGAATCACCGTTGGCGGATTTTGGTTCTTGACATCTTTACGATCGGTTACGATGCCTAGAGTACGGAGACCTGTACGATTTCGTCAACTTAGTGAGTTTGATAGGGGCCGTATAGTGGGACTTCGGGAAGCTGGACTTTCTTTTCGGGCAGTTGCAGTTAGAGTGCAAAGAAGTGTAGACACTGTGGTTAGGTGTTGTCAGGCATTGCTTCGAGAAGGCCGTACGCAAAGAGCAAGGGGCACTGGACGCCGCCGTAGAACAACAGACCGTGAAGATCGCCGCCTAAGATTATTGGCCTTAAGGAACCATTTCTCCACTACCAGGTCCATTGCAAATGAATGGTTTGCAGAACACGGAAGACCTATTGGCATGAGAAGTGTTTACCGACGAATGAGAAGTTTTGGCTTGTTTTCATACCGGCCACACTGGGTCCTCCCTTTAACTCGAGAACACCGACGTAATCGCCTTGAGTGGTGCAGACAACGGTCACTCTGGGATCAGGAATGGAACAGTATTGTCTTTAGTGACGAGTCTCGATTTTGTTTAGGCATGCACGATGGTCGTGCCAGGGTTAGAAGGCGACGTGGTGAAAGGAGGAATCCACAGTTTTTTGTTGAAAGACATGTTCATCACACTGTTGGAGTTATGGTTTGGGGTGCTATAGCATGGTTCCAGGTCACCTTTAATCTTCATCAGAGGTAACATGAACGCGCAGCGTTATATCCACGAAGTTCTAGAACCCCATCTTTTACCCTATCTTGACACCCTGGCAGATCCAACTTTCCAACAAGATAATGCCCGAACACATGTTGCAAGAGTCACAATAGACTTCTTTCAACATAATAATGTCACATTGTTACCATGGCCACCAAGATCTCCCGACTTATCCCCAATTGAGCACGTGTGGGATATGATGGGTAGGAGATTGCTCAATTTGCAACGTCCTCCTCAGACTCTAGAAGCACTTCGAGAGGAGTTGGTGGTTGCCTGGAATGAGATACCACAGGAGGACATTGACCACCTGATCAGAAGTATGCCTAGGCGCGTTGGAGAATGCGTAGCACATCAGGGTGCATCCACACATTATTAAAGGTCAAAGGGCTTTAAAGCAGAGCAATCATTTTGAAATTTTTATCATTTACTTATTATGCTTCATTAAGTACTTATACAAAATTTTATTAAAATAAAACCATTTAAACTGGGTGTTCGGATTTATATGTCACTTAGTATATTTAGAGAAATCAGGTATAGTATCAAATTATTATTTATGTACGTAGAATGATCTACTACTCGTCGTTGGTTCTCAAGGCCGTCCCGACGACCTTAGCCTTTAGGTCATAGTCGCTATAATGTCAGTGTCTGTCATCGGTCTGTCAAGTCTGGTGGCCCAGAAACCAGACAAGTTGTAGGGGAAGGGCGAGAGGGAGAAAGAAAGGAAGGTAGTCGGAGCGAGAAGAGAACGAAAAGGAATTGTTTTAAGTAAATATTTGAGGTGTGATAGACGTTGAATGATCGTATTAGGATGACGCCGTTGAAGTGTATATACAAGAAGATGTTATGATGGAAAATAGTATGACGAGCCATATCATGTTTTCTTTCTTATATAGATGTTAGCGTCCTTAACCGGACCCCTCTCTTTAAAGCGGACCGGCAGTGTTATCACGTGAAAGACTTATGTAGTGGCAAAACATGGCGTCAAGTAGATTGACTCTAGGCCTTCGTTGGAGGTCTCAAAGAAAAGAGATGAGTCAAATGCCACATCAGTCGACAATTTTCCGTTGGTATTGAGAATTCAAACGTGGACGGGTGAGTCTCAGCGACGATCCCAGGGTGGGTGCACCAAAAACGGCAGTCACCCAGGAAAACGTCTATGCTGTGCACTCATCTCATCATTGAAGATAGACATGTGACATATCGCGAGATTGAGGCGTCCTTGAAGATCTCAAAGACCTTAATTCAAAAAATTTTACATGAAGAATTAGGAGGAGTAGGACCGTTTCAATTCCGGAAACTCAAAAAATGTGTACAGCATTGTTAGTGGTGATGAATCGTGGATTTACTGTTATCAACCAGAAAGCAAACGACAGTCGGCTGTTTGGGTGTTCCAAGGTGAAGAAAAGCCATCAAAAGTCATCCGTTCTCGAAGAGTTTCGAAAAAGATGGTCGCGACATTTGTGTCAAAAGTGGGTCATATGGCAACAATTTCTCTCAATGAGCAAAGAACTATTACTGTGGATTCTTATACCACCATTTGTTTGCCAAAAGTCATCACCGAGCTTCGAAAAATCAACCCCGAAAGAACAATAGTCCTCCACCAAGACAATCCAAGCTCGCACACAGCTCAAAAAACAAGGCGGTATTTAAGGGAAGAAAACGTGGAATTATTGGACCATCCTCCATATTGTCCCGATCTATGTCCTAACGATTTCTTTACTTTCTCGAAAATTAAAAACAGACTGCGTGGTCAAAGGTTCCAGTCACCAGAAGAAGCAGTTGACGCATTCAAAAATGCCGTTTTGGATCTGCCAGCAAACAAGTGGAATAAGTGCTTCGAAAATGGGTTCGAGCGCATGGAGATGTGTATTAATCTTCGTGGAGAATACTTCCAAAAACAATAAAGTCATTTAAAACTACCTACCGTGTTGTTTTATTTCCATATGCAAAACTTACAAGACATCCCTCGTAATACCCTTTGTATGGAAATTTTACCAAAATCAATCTGAGCGATACTTCTCAAGCTATAGGCGGTTATAAAATTAGCGGGCAGACAGAGTTGAGTGACATGTTTTTTGTGATGTACACGTCATATAACATCCAAAAACCATAATATCTTATTTTCGAAATTTTTCTAGACTACAATTTTTTCATAGGAAGTAAAATGTATATATGGTCCATAAACCGGGCTTTTTCAATGTCAATCTACTTTTCAAACTAGTCCGGTGAGAAAACTGAAATTTGTAATGATGAAATTGATGTTTAGCGTATGGTACATCATTTCGAGCTCCGTATCAGTACTGTATCAGCATGTATTACAAAGTTCATCACCTTTCGAAGTGGTGGACTGTCAAGTCTTGTGGGTTGTTGCTGATTCTTCAGCGGCAGATCGAAGATGATGCATACGACGCACTCGGAGCAAAAGGGCTCAGGTCGAATAACAAAATAATTAGGAACGAAAATATAATTATTACTCTAAAATTCCGGCTCCGAACAGCATGGGAATTGTAAGTCACGTGGTCTTGCCCTAGCCAATTTTTTTTGTAAAATAGTTTTGCAAGCACCTGGCAAGGTTTGTGTCGCCACTAAATGATCCGGCTTATTTATATTTTCACTATTTAAATGTCAAATGCAAAGGTCAAAAATGTCTCAATAGTCTAATCATATTAGCAAATTTCCCAGAAATAATTATCAAGTCTGGTTTTATTGGTGCAAGTTGTTCAACTGGGTATTTAAAACATTGTCGCATAAAATGGGTACACCAATTTTTGTGGGAAAACTGTTTATTTGACAACAAAGAATCAGAAAGAGAGTTTTTTTTGGGATTCAATAAAAAGTATTGACATGAACGAAAAAACTTTTCATAGGATTCTTGAATATTTATGAGACCACAAGTAAAAAGATCCGACTAATAGCAAAAATGTTATGACCGAAAAATGACGCAAAATGCAGATTTTGGCACTTGTTGGTAATGCAACGATAATTCCAAGCAACTTCTTGAAATTGGAGTGTATTGGACAAGTAGTTTTTTGAGAATTTCTAATTTTTGATCTCAAAACACCTGTTTTCCGGCTATCACTACTAGTTTATTGAGAAATATACAGGGTTCGTTCAGAGAGCATTTAATAGCAAAATACACGTGTTTACCTTGCCAATTTGAATCGCAAACCATTCCGAAAGATAAATGTTATTTTTATGCAAAAAAAAGGTTATATACGTTTTTTTCTTCTAAACAAATTCAAAAATTTCGTATTTGTGAGTAATTGAACAAATGAGCTAAAATATTCGAAAAACATACGATACTATACATATTTTGAAATGAAGTGGATGTGTCTATCATTTTTTGTTGCGAATTACTCACAAATATACTAAGTGACATATAAATCCGAACACCCAGTTTAAATGGTTTTATTTTAATAAAATTTTGTATAAGTACTTAATGAAGCATAATAAGTAAATGATAAAAATTTCAAAATCATTGCACTGCTTTAAAGCCCTTTGACCTTTAATAATGTGTGGATGCACCCTGATGTGCTACGCATTCTCCAACGCGCCTAGTCATGCTTCTGATCAGGTGGTCAATGTCCTCCTGTGGTATCTCATTCCAGGCAACCATCAACTCCTCTCGAAGTGCTTCGAGAATCTGAGGAGGACGTTGCAAATTGAGCAATCTCCTACCCATCATATCCCACACGTGCTCAATTGGGGATAAGTCAGGAGATCTTGGTGGCCATGGTAACAATGTGACATCATTATGTTGAAAGAAGTCTATTGTGACTCTTGCAACATGTGGTCGGGCATTATCTTGTTGGAAAGTTGGATCTGCCAGGGTGTCAAGATAGGGTAAAAGATGGGGTTCTAGAACTTCGTGGATATAACGCTGCGCGTCCATGTTACCTCTGATGAAGATTAAAGGTGACCTGGAACCATAAGCTATAGCACCCCAAACCATAACTCCAACAGTGTGATGAACATGTCTTTCAACAAAAAACTGTGGATTCCTCCTTTCATCACGTCGTCTTCTAACCCTGGCACGACCATCGTGCATGCCTAAACAAAATCGAGACTCGTCACTAAAGACAATACTGTTCCATTCCTGATCCCAGAGTGACCGTTGTCTGCAGCACTCAAGGCGATTACGTCGGTGTTCTCGAGTTAAAGGGAGGACCCAGTGTGGCCGGTATGAAAACAAGCCAAAACTTCTCATTCGTCGGTAAACACTTCGCATGCCAATAGGTCTTCCGTGTTCTGCAAACCATTAATTTGCAATAGACCTGGTAGTGGAGAAACGGTCCCTTAAGGCCAATAATCTTAGGCGGCGATCTTCACGGTCTGTTGTTCTACGGCGGCGTCCAGTGCCCCTTGCTCTTTGCGTACGGCCTTCTCGAAGCCTTGCCTGACAACACCTAACCACAGTGTCTACACTTCTTTGCACTCTAACTGCAATTGCCCGAAAAGAAAGTGCAGCTTCCCGAAGTCCCAATATACGGCCCCTATCAAACTCACTAAGTTGACGAAATCGTACAGGTCTCCGTACTCTAGGCATCGTAACCGATCGTAAAGGATGTCAAGAACCAAAATCCGCCAACGTTGATTCTTTACTGCGGCTGAAATATTCATTTTTAGAGCGTTAGTGAATTAAAAAAAAGCAGTATAAAAACCGGAATGTCCAACTGATAAGGCTGAACATTTTTTCACTTGTTATTTACAGTAAAATAAATACATTCACCAACTTTTATTAAAATAAAACCATTTAAACTGGGTGTTCGGATTTATATGTCACTTAGTATATGAAATGTTGGAATTTTTTTAGAAGAAAAAACGTAACCCATCCGTTTTTGGCATAAAAATAACATTTATCTTCCGGAATCGGCAAGGTAAGCTACAGTTTTTTCATTCTTGTCAACACATTCAATTGAATCCCAAAAAACACGTTTTCTCATTATTTGTTGTCGAATAAAAAATTTTCCCACGAAAATTTGTGTACCCATTTTATGCGCCCATGTTTTGAATACCCCCTTGAACAACTTGCAACAATAAAACCAGCCTTTACGATTATTTCGCAAACCAAGGGTATTTTCGTCTAAAAGGACATTTTTTGCAGATAAAATCGCGTCTTTAGTGTCTTCAGTGCAGTGTTTGGTTATTACAGGAGAATGATTAGACAAGCTTTCAGTGGTCCTGAAATTCCTACTCAAAATTGTCTATCAACTCTTCCAGTACATGAAAATCTATCTTTGAGGCTTTCTGGGCAAGTCAAATGCTTCACAATTATTACCACCTGGGACCCCATACAAAGTTTGTGCTTCGGGTCCCAGGTATGCTAGACCCGCTATTGAATTTGTATCCCGTAAACCAAACGCTGTTTCTCATTTCGCCTACTCCTCACTTTGAGAATCAATATTATTCTCTAGCGCCACCTGAAATTGTTCAAGATGACAGTGACGGAGAGGGAGGGCATCTGCGATTGAAAATTCAGGGGTGGGCTGGGATTGGTGACGTCATCTAGTGCACCACTGCTTCTAAGAACGAGTTCCCTCATGGAAATTGAAGAGCAGGGGGTGGTATCGACAATTGAAGTTGAATCAATTGAACGAAGAGCGGGGGGACAACATTATCCATTGCGTCGCACTCAAGTTCAATTCAACGCCCTCAAATTTCCTTTATGCTCTTTACCGTCCACCGTAGGTCCCCAGCCCACCACAAGGAGGCCTTATCACCCATTTTGTAAAACACTGACGTAAATTGATGATTTAGTTTAGGGTTAAATCATTAAGGATTAGCTGGCTAGCTGATCCTTTACTGTAACCTCTAGGTAAGGACTACTGATTTTTCGAAAATGATATTGCTCTAACTCCGCCTCTGGTAGATGCTGGGTGGATTGAGTAGCTCAGTGACTGCCAGTGTCGGTCCCAAGCCCGGATAAAGGAGGAGAGTTGTAGCGGAGGGTTGGCTCCCCGCCCTGTGGAAAAAAAAGCATTGCTAAAAAACCCATACAGCAGCCTCGGAATTCGGACGGATTACACGGAAAACGACAAAAGCAAAGAAAACGGTTAACGAATATTGGATGCTGGAATATATAAGGACTAAACACTAAAGATGATCAAGTATTTAGAGAACTCCACACATACGACATCGACATAGCAGTACTCAGCGAAACAAAGAAGAAAGGACAAGGAAACAGCTACAAAGATGAGTACATATGCTTTTGGAGTGGAGTAGAAAAATCGAAACGGGCCAAAGCTGGTGTAGCTATTGCAATAAAAAGGTCATGGAGAAGTTCATAATGGACTGGAACCCAGTTGACGAAAGGATCATAACGGTTGACATGAAAATAAAAGGAAGAGAAATTAAAATATTCGGTATCTACGCGCCCACGGACGACTCAGATACAAACACAAAAGACAAATTTTTTGACAAACTCTCTGAGGAATTAGATAAGACGAAAAATAGACAAGAAATAGTCTTGATAGGCGACCTGAACGGAAGAGTGGGCAAAGCTCTTGACAGTAAAATAATTGGACAACACGGAGAGGAAGTAGTCAATGAAAACGGAACCAGATGGATAGAGCTTTGTGAACAACACTCGTTAAGAATCTTAAACGGATTTTTCCAACACAAAGACATACACAAATATACTTGGACTCAAAAAAACAAAAAACTTGAAATCAATTATTGACTATGTCGTGATTAAGCAGGACACTTCCATAATACCCTATGATGTAAAAGTTTGGAGAGGAGCTGAGTGCGGTTCAGAGCACCTGCTAGTAAAAGCACCCATTGAAATTACTTACAATAAACATCTCATATATCAAGAACAAAATAACAATGGAAAACCCACAAAGCGATATAACATAGACAGCTTAAGGGATGAATCCACCAGTTTCCTTTACAAACTACGTTTAGCACAAAAAACTGGACGAAGATATTAACGGCAAGGCAGAAGAAATGTATGAAACTTTGAAACACAAAATTCACGAAGCAGCACTAGAAGCCCTTGGTGTTAAAGATAGAACGGAACACAAAAATTCTTGGTGGACGGACGATTTAACCCAACTGGTAGAAGAAAAGAAAAACTTATATCTTAAATGGTTAACTACAAAAGACGATGAAGATCGAAAAAGCTATAATCGTTTTAAATATATAGTAAAAACAGAAATTAAAAAAATAAAAAACAAACATGGGAAACCAAATGTGCTGAAATTAGCTCAATGGTAGGAGGATCTAGGTCTAGAGAAGCTTGGCGAACTATAAATGGTCTTAAAACAAACACGAATGAAAGAAGAAAAATAAATCCCATAAAAATAGAACAGTGGAAAGACTACTACAATAATCTACTGGCAGAACAACGTGGAGAGTATTTAGACACGCAACTAGATATAGATCAAACGGGAGTTAACAGAGTAGATACCATTCAATTAGAAGAAATAAAAACAGCATTACAAAAAATGAAAAATAATAAAGCTCCGGGACCGGGGGATTTGCCTATCGAGTTAATTAAACACGCCACCACAAGAACGCACGAGCTACTTTGTGTAATTTTTAACAAGTGCCTGGAAGGGGAAACGATTCCCAGAGATTGGAGGAGCTCTTAGATAAATTCCATTTATAAAAGGGAAACAGGAGTGACTGTAGTAATTATCGGGGTATTAGTATTACATCGTCCATCGGAAAGCTGTACGAAAGAGTCCCAGCAGCCCGAATAGAAGACGAAGACACGGAAATTGAAGAACAAAGTGGATTTCGACCTCGGCGATCCTGTGTCTACAACATATTTACAATAAAACAACTGACAGAAAAGAGATTAGCAAGAGGAATGGAGCTACACGCTACTTTTATAGATCTCCGCAAGGCATTCGACTCCGTCCCTTTGCAGAAATTATGGATCGCAATGAAAGAAGCAGGCATAAATAGCAAATACATAAACGCCGTAAAAGCAATGTATAGAGAAAATCAAGTGGTCGTTAAAGTCGGAAATCAAATTTCTGAGGCTTTCCCACAAACAAAAGGTGTTAAGCAGGGCTCCTGCCTCTCTCCAACCCTGTTTAAAATTTATCTCTGCAGCGCTTTAAAACATTGGATAAGAAAGTGCAGCCCCATGGGGATATGGTTAGAGGACTTTCACTTCTATTCAATCCTCTTTGCAGATGATCAGGTAGTCTTTGCAGAAGACCAGCAAGACATGACTTACATGATAAACAAACTTATAGAAGAATTCACTAAATGGGGTTTGGAGATAAATATACAAAAGACACAATACATGACTATAGGAGGCACAGGACAAGACATCGAAACAAAAAGCGGAAAAATAGAAAACGTCGGACAGTACCAGTACCTAGGAGTTACAATAGATGAAAGCGGAAAGGATAATAAAGACATACTAAGGAAAATAGGAAAAGGAAAAAATATGATTAAAACACTACATCCGATCTTGTGGAGTAAGAACCTAACAAAGAAAACAAAAAAAATTATATATCAGGCTATGATTCAGCCAGTACTGACGTATGGGTCAGAAGCGTGGGTTGTAGATAAAAATATGTCACAAAAGCTTCTCTCAACCGAAATGATGTACTGGAGAAGATGTTCCGGTTTAACTTTACTTGACCATGTTAGAAATGAGACCATCAGAGAAAGAATGGAAGTCGAAAATACAATAATGGACGATATAACAGAGAGGCAGTTAAAATGGTATGGACACCTGCAACGAATGAACGAAGAAAGGATACCATTAAGGGAAATGGACACCAGCACAAAGAAATAAACGAGGAAGACCACGAAGGAAATGGATTTCAAATATCCATACCGCAATGGAAAGTAGAGGACTACATGAAGGAGACTGGAACGATAGGATACGATGGCATATGGGTTGCGAGAAGCGACCTTAGGTTGCAGAAACTCGCCATATATATATATATATATATTGCTCTGCATCCCAAGTCGTTCAAAGATTGACAGAAAATGTAATGCGTAGATTTTTATTTGACGAGCCGGTTGTTATGTTAGATGTGACCGCGACTTCAAAGAACCTTTTAGACAGGTAAACGTATCGATACACTGCGGAATAGTTTTCCAGGGACGCTTCGGTGATAATTCATAGCTTTCCATATCTCATTTTGCCAGATTTTAAACCTTGATACAACGTTTCTCCACGTGCTGGTCAATTTATTCTATCGTTATCGTCATTCTCGTCACGCCTGCTGACTACCGTTTTTAGATCACTCCATAATTAGATTCTAGAGATGCATTGGACCTGATTAAGGTCAATTTATGGATTTTTCCTGCAACAGCTGTCTGGGATAAAACCCAAATGCCACTATCGTTTAATACAACGTTTACTATTTCAGGAAATTTTTTTGTAGAGAATTTATAGAACTCAATTCCCTGTATGTACTTCCCAGGCCAACATTGGGGTATTTTAATCGCGAATAATTTAAAAATTGAGATTGTATGTTCTTACTTCCCACGCTTGCTGGCGAGAAAGTATTATAATCGCGAACATTTTCATAGCTGAGATGGTTTTTGGATGTTATTTGACATGTACAGGGTGTCCCATTTTCGCTGATATTACTTGGTATCTCACTTACTAGTAAAGATAGAGAGTTGTGGTTTTCGCAGGACTTGCTACTTTTTTGTGAAAAGGAAGGTGGTTCAAACAAAATTTTCATAGCCTACTTTGTTTCTGAGATACAGGGCGAAATTGAAAATATTGCATCTTGGGATCCCCCTCGTATCTCCGTTGTTTTTCATCACTTCGCAAAGCTATAAACTGGCTCTTGTACAAATTTTCACGTGGGAAACATCAACTGTCAATATTTCTAATATTTGTCAGAGCACAGCTATAATATATACTAAGTGACATATAAATCCGAACACCCAGTTTAAATGGTTTTATTTTAATAAAATTTTGTATAAGTACTTAATGAAGCATAATAAGTAAATGATAAAAATTTCAAAATGATTGCACTGCTTTAAAGCCCTTTGACCTTTTAATAATGTGTGGTGCACCCTGATGTGCTACGCATTCTCCAACGCGCCTAGGCATGCTTCTGATCAGGCGGTCAATGTCCTCCTGTGGTATCTCATTTCAGGCAACCACCAACTCCTCTCGAAGTGCTTCTAGAGTCTGAGGAGGACGTTGCAAATTGAACAATCTCCTACCCATCATATCCCACACGTGCTCAATTGGGGATAAGTCGGGAGATCTTGATGGCCATGGTAACAATGTGACATCATTATGTTGAAAGGAGTCTATTGTGACTCTTGCAACATGTGGTCGGGCATTATCTTGTTGGAAAGTTGGATCTGCCAGGGTGTCAAGATAGGGTAAAAGATGGGGTTCTAGAACTTCGTGGATATAACGCTGCGCGTTCATGTTACCTCTGATGAAGATTAATGGTGACCTGGAACCATAAGCTATATCACCCCAAACCATAACTCCAACAGTGTGATGAACATTTCTTTCAACAAAAAACTGTGGATTCCTCCTTTCACCACGTCGCCTTCTAACCCTGGCATGACCATCGTGCATGCCTAAATAAAATCGAGACTCTTCACTAAAGACAATACTGTTCCATTCCTGATCCCAGAGTGACCGTTGTCTGCACCACTCAAGGCGATTACGTCGGTGTTCTCGAGTTAAAGGGAGGACTCAGTGTAGTCGGTATGAAACAAGCCAAAACTTCTCATTCATCGGTAAACACTTCGCATGCCAATAGGTCTTCCGTGTTCTGCAAACCATTCATTTGCAATGGACCTGGTAGTGGAGAAACGGTCCCTTAAGGCCAATAATCTTAGGCGGCGATCTTCACGGTCTGTTGTTCTACGGCGGCGTCCAGTGCACCTTGCCCTTTGCGTACGGCCTTCTCGAAGCCATGCCTGACAACACCTAACCACAGTGTCTACACTTCTTTGCACTCGAACTGCTATTGCCCGAAAAGAAAGTCCAGCTTCCCGAAGTCCCACTATACGGCCCCTATCAAACTCACTAAGTTGACGAAATCGTACAGGTCTCCGTACTCTAGGCATCGTAACCGATCGTAAAGGATGTCAAGAACCAAAATCCGCCAACGTTGATTCTTTACTGCGGCTGAAATATTCATTTTTAGAGCGTTAGCGAATTAAAAAAAAGCAGTATAAAAACCGGAATGTCCAACTGATAAGGCTGAAAATTTTTTCACTTGTTATTTACAGTAAGATAAATACATTCACCAACTTTTATTAAAATAAAACCATTTAAACTGGGTGTTCGGATTTATATGTCATCATTCACTAAAGTAAATTTGCTTTTTTAGATTCCAAATATTATTTAATTATCCTTGCAAATCTAAATAAAATAATTCATGAAAACTAGACAAGCTCTTGCATCTAAAATAATTAAACAAATTTAATGGATTATAATCAAATTGTTTCGAATAGTTCATTAATTTTAATTAAATTGGTGTACTCAATTTAAGTAAACGGTTTATCAACTTTAATTAAACGATTGCGTTTCGGCCTAATTAAATTAGTTTCATAGATTCAAGTAAAATGTTATATAAATCAGAGTTCAGTTAAATGAACTAAACTTGTTAGCTGTCAAATAGTTCAATAAATTTTTTCATTGGCCCAATTACAATTTTAATTAGTATAATTAATTTAATTTTCTTAGTGTATCCACTCAAAATTTTGAAAAATGTATTAATACGTGTGAAGTACAAATGCAATCTACTTGGCACCATTTTTTATATAGGAATATTCAGGTCTGATGAAGCATTCTCCGTTATCGTCAAGCAGGCAACAAAGCAAACAGTGCAGCTATAAACTAACCCTTTTTGCAAGCTGCTCCCGACCCAAAGCCCGAATCAACGGAGGAAGTGCTGGCGCCAGCAACTTTGGTCGTACCTCCATCGCACTCCTCCTCTTCCTCCTCGGAAGTGCTGTCGTCCTCGCTGCTGGACGAGGTAGACTCCTCCTCGCTCTCGCTGTCCTCTTCACTGTCGCTGTGGGGCTGCACTGCCGGATGGCCCCTTGGTCGGGGGTAGTGCCTTCCACGGATCACCTTGGGCTTTGCCCATATTTCCACCGGGCACACGTCGAACTGCTCCGGTTTTTTCCAGGGCTGCATGAACTGCGTCAGGCGGTTTGATTGCAGGGGCACGAAAGTCTCTTTCTGTTCCGGTTCAGGTTTAGACTCAGGCTCCGGCGGGACGAACACCTGCAAATCGGGGTCGTCTTTATCCGCTTTCTGCACTAGCGAACGCTTTGATACAAGTTTTTTGTCCGCGGATGATACCACTGGCTCGTCCTTGAGCGGCACTGTCTTTATGTTCACTCCACCTCCTGTTGTATCTTCAACTTCCTTTTTAACGATACCTGTCTTCCTCTCATCAACTTCCGCATCGGGCTTGGCCTCAACTCCTTCACTACCTTTTACTCCATCTTTAGACACCTCTTCCTCCTTCTTGGCAACTGCCTCTTTCTTTGGCGCCTTATCGTCAACTTCACCGTCAGCTGAACTTTTCACAACTTCACCATTTGCTATTGCTTTTCCTCCTTCCTTCAAAGTCAAATTATTCTTCTCTATTTTTGCCTCACCATTAACAACCACTGAATCCTGATCTTCTGATGATGCTGGCGTAATATTCTTCTTTTTAACTACTTTTATAACTTTCTTTTTTGGAGTCGCCTCTTCGGTACCACTTTTTTGTTGAGCAGTTGTGTTGTCTTTCATTACTTCTGTCGTTGTATGATCTAAAACTTCTTTATCGTGCCTCAGAGGGGATAGAGGTCTCGCAAAATCATCGTTATCCACAAATTTATTTCTGCTACCTCTCTGGTCTTCTGTAGGCTCTTCTGTATCAACTTTTTTCCTTGGTACGACAATAGTACGTTTTGCAAATACATCGTCATTTTTGATGAAAGGAGACGCAAGTGTTACTGGACTTGGAGGGGCAGAACTGTCTGTTGAACTGTGAGATGGCTTGGTCACAAACAGCTTTCTTTTAATAACGCCTTTTGGTTCTTCTTTATCATTTGGTGATAAAGGAACCTTGCTATCTGCTTTCTTATCAGATTGAGCACATTTCTCTACACCTACAACAGTACTATCAGTCTCTTTCTTAGTTGCAACTTTCTTAATCCTAAGCGTTCGCTCCTTTTCCTCAAGAACTTGACCTACTAACGATAAAGGCTTCTTTTTCAAGATTCCTATCACTAAAGGATCTTTAGGTGCTGGTAATTCTACTGTACCATTCTCAATAGGCATTTTGACTTTGGGTGGTTCTGCCTTGACTTCAACGTCAAGGTTAAACCTGAACTTCTTGTCTTTTTTCTTGGGTGATTCCACAATCTCGACATTGTCTACCACAACTTTGAGTGGAGATTTCTTCTCCTCTATTTCACCTATTGTACCAGTTATTACTGGTTTCGGCTTAAACACTGTCTGCTCAATATCGACCTGAGAAATATCCCTAACAGTAGGCATTTTTGGAGCAATTATCGATTCAGTCATCTTGTTTTTGTCTGTAACTTCTTTGTTTGCACTTTTTTTGACAAGTGGTTTTTGTTGTAGAAAAGGCAGATCTTTAGATAGTTCTGAGAATTCGTTTGATTTTTTCGTCAACTGTGACGTATTTGTTTTCTCATCAGGCAAGCTTTTAGAAGAGCTGGATTTGTCTAGCTCCTTAGCTTTGGCATCTGGCAAACTAGTAGTTGATTCAGCTTTGCTAAAAAGTGTTTTTTTCTTGGATAAATCTTGAGCTATGTCAGCTTTCTTTTTAAACAGATCTAAGGCTTTGTCTTCTGGTAAACTTTGACTAGAGTTTGACTTATTTAGGCTAGTAATAATCTTTTTGTCTGGCAAGCTAGTGCTTGAGTCAGATTTGCTAATTACTTTTTGTTTTAAAGTATCTTTTTTGCTAGATAATTCGAGAAGTTTATCTTTTGGGCTAATATCAGATACAACTTTGATTGGAGTTGTTATTTTTAGTTCTGACTGGTCTTTGATGAGATCAGACTTGGTTGGTGCTTTATTCAGCCTAATTATATTGCCTTTCAAGTCTTTTGATTTATCGAGATGTTTCTCTGGTTGTTTAATGTCACCAACCTCTTCGCATTTATCTATAATTTCATCACAAACTGGAGAACTATCTATTAGTAGTGTGTCCTTAGAGCTAGACTTACTTATACTTGAATCTCGTTTTTTCTTGAAACTGCCCCTAGAATCAAAGTCTGCATCAGTCTTTTTACACTCACCAGAAACAACACTTTCATCACTAGTACCTTTCTTAAGCACTTTTTTCTTCTTGACGGTACCTCTACCTTCCGTTTCTTGCTCTGAATCCGCCACGGTATCCCCACTTGTCAAAATTTCACCAGTTTTTTTCCTAACAGCTTTCTTCTTCTTCGCCCCAGGATGAGCAGGTTCCGGCTCTTCAGATTCTTTTTGCAATATGTGATCTAGTATGTTTAGATCATCAGCACTAAGTTGAGTAGAAGATCTACGGATATGTTTGATAATATCTTCTGTAGATACTTGTCTACTTTGTTTGATTTGCACTTCAAGAGGTTGCCCAGGATTCAGATCATCGATGTTGTCATCTGTGGTGATAGCCTTACATATATCGCGAAAGCTGGGAGACTTGCTGACAGATTTTCTTCTGTTATTCGGAGCAGGTTCGAGCTTTGCTATGTTTTCCTTGCTTTTGCTACGAATTAGGAACTTTTCCTTGAGGATTTCTCCAGGTGATTTTCTCACTCGTTTTCCACCAGTCTCAAACAGCTCGTCTTCTTTAAAGTTGTCTCTCCAGCTCTTGATTTCATTGATTTCATCTTTAAAGGTGTCTTCATGTACAGTTTTGATTCGTACTGTAGCTCTTTCTCTCTTGATTGTAGTTGTAGGTTTGGCTTCTTTCTCTTCGGTAGCTTGCACGGTTTTCGGGCTCGGTGTTTTCTCAACTGGTTTAAGGTCTAGGATTTCGGGTTTTGTTCTTTCGTATTTATTAAATTTCCTGTATCTGTTCACTGAGACGTCGATGTCGGCAGTATCGATGATCTTGATAGGTCTGATTGATACGACTTTAGGTGAAGAGTGGTACAACTTTGGCGAGTCTACTCTTCTAAGGGGCGAATTGAATTCGCTGATCGTGGTAAGTTGAGGCTTGTACCCTGCTCGGTACTGTCTTGGGAGTGTGTTGGAGTACGGGATGTAGTTTGACGCGATGATAGAGGAATGGTTCGCGTACGGGCCACTGAGCAGCAGCGACTTGGCACTACCGGAGGTGCCGATGTCTGAGTAGTATGGCATTTTCCTATTATTCTTATCTCATAACACGTGATGGAATTCGTCGGCGGTGCAGGTGCCAAGCAATTTCCTACCTGTTGCTGTAGCTGAAATTGATCCAAGTTAGTGCTGGTGGTTCACAGAACTATTGATGAAAAGACTGCACTTAACAGTGGGAGTTGGCGGTCTTGTACAGTGACATTTTGAACCATGGAGTTGTTAGAGGCTTTGTCGTAATAGGAGATAATACAAACAAATATTTTTTTGAAATAAGAATTCAATTACGAAGCGCTATGAATTTTCTTCGAAGTTCGTTTTATGCATTTACCTAGAGGTATATTTATCGATAACAAAGGTGTTAAGAGGTAGCTCATGACGTTATCTCTGAGAGGCTTAAGGCTAATGTATCGGATGAAGAGACACGCAGCCTCTTAAATAGTGACAAAGTCGCGTATTTAGGATTTTTCCCAAAATCGTTTTAGTTTTTTTCCTGACTTCATCTGAGATTGGATTTTAAAATAAATTACACATTCACATTGCCACCTTTTCTCCTCTACAAGATGGCATGATCAAAATTTCAATATGACGATTCGGTTATTGTTCTCCAGCATTAACTTTTCTTATGGACGCTACATTGGATTTTTGCAAATATTAATGGAGCTCTTAAATCTGATAACAAAAATTTATAGAGCGTCATATATTGACATTGTCAAACCTTTTATTAAAAAACGAAATCTCCTAGGTATACCAGATAGATATTTGTTTCGTATATCAGACTTATCGCAAAATTATTTTTATTTATACTTTGAATATGAGCAGTTTTTTTTTTTTATATCGAAACAGCCGCGCAGGCAGAAGCCTAAATGCCGGAACACCGCGGCTGCTATGATGATCCCAAAGAAATTTTGTTAATACGATTTTTGAACTGCCTAAGGTTAGTAGGACTGGGGAAAGCTTACTCCCGTAGATTGTTCCACAATCTAGACACCCTCGGGACAAAGGAGCGGTCGTATCGGCCAGTTCTGGATGTACGAAGTTTGACACGGTTAGGATGGGATGCCGAAGTCAGGCGGGTCTGTCGGGCAGGCGCATCGCGCGGCGGCATCATGGAAGAGAGCTCTGAGGAGCAAAGCCCGTTGGTGTAGCGATAGAAAAGAGCTAGGTCGCCGACGGCCCGCCGGTGCGAAAGAGTCCCGAGACTGTCTGTTAGAGAAGAGTCATCGATCAGTCGGACCGCCCTCCTCTGGACAGCATCGAGCATGGACAATGTAGTCGGGGCGGCAGCACCCCAAATGTGTGAGCAATACTCGAGGCTAGGCCTTCTCTGGGCGTTGTATAGAGTGAGAAGGTCATGCGGAGAAAAGTACTTCTTAGCCCTAAACAAATAGCCTAGCTTTTTCCCAGCAGCTGCAGCTATTGAAGAGATGTGTTCGTGCCAGATCAGGTCCTCGGTGATCTGGACTCCGACCAGCCGAAATGAATTGCTCTTTGGTAGAACTCGACCGTCCATCGAAACTGTATGAGCGCTAGGACGCTTTTTGTTCGTCAAGGTACAGTACTGTGTTTTGGAAGCATTGAACTGTACAAGATTGTTGCGTCCCCAAGCAGTGATAGCCTCCAGGTCTCTTGTCAGAGAAGAAGTCGTCGCTAGTCTTCTTTTTTCCAGCTCAGCGGCAGAGATCGGCTTGTCACACTGAATTCCTGCATGTAGAGTGCTGTCATCAGCGAAGCTGTGGATTGGGTTGATCGTGCAGGAAAGGAGGTCGTTGATATGTAAGAGAAACAGTGTTGGAGCCAAGACCGATCCCTGGGGAACACCCGCGTTGACGTTGTGGGATGAAGAGGAGAATCCGTCAATTACGACGGATATCTTGCGGCCAGAGATAAAGTCAGCCACCCATCTGCAAAGCTTTTCTGGGAGGCCATATAATGGAAGTTTGCTTAAGAGAGCAGCGTGCCACAGCAGATCGAACGATTTCGTGATGTCAAGAGCAACGACATGAGCCTCACCATGAGACTGGATGAGTTTACTCCACAGTTGCGTGACGTAAGCTAGGAGGTCCCCTGTGGATCGTTGGTGCCGGAAACCGTACTGCCTGTCGCTAATCAAGCTGTGACGTTCGAGGTAGTCCAGAAGCTCGCGATTTATGCACCTCTCCATCACTTTACTTATAACAGAAAGCAGAGCTATAGGCCTGTAGTTGTAAGGGTCGGTTTTAGATCCTTTTTTTGGGATGGATTCATAAGATATCTGGAAGAGACGCGAAAGAACTGGAGCAAGCTCCGCTGCACATTTCTTCAGTACAATGGCAGGAATGAAGTCCGGACCAGAAGCTTTGTTGATGTCGAGCGACAAGAGCACTCGTCTTACGGTCTTATGCCTGAATGTTACTTCCCGCATAGGGTGGGGAACCCTTTGAATTGACGGCACTTGGGCGTTGGTGGGGACGTCCATGGTGGAGTTGGCAGCAAAGATCTTGGCTAGCACTTCCGCCTTGGCCTTTGAGTCGAATACAATAGTTCCATCCTGACACGTAAGTGGTGAAAGGCTACTGTGTGAGAAGTTCTTTTCAATCTGCTTGGCCAGCGTCCAGAAGGATCGACTGCCATTGCGCTGCGACATTACCCTGTGCCTAACTTTTATATCATGCTGGTTTTTGGCATTGCGAACCGCTTCGTTATATTTGTTTCTTGACTCGACGTCAGCTTGTCTGTTCTCTACAGTGGGGTTTTGTAAGTAGGTTCTGTGGGCCTTGATCTGCTGCTGGCGAGCAGTGTCACACGATTTGTTGAACCAGCCGTTGGACCCTGGTTTAGGAACTTTCACTGTGTGAGGGATGTATTCCTCCATTCCGACGTGGATAATTTCGGTTATTGAAGAACAGACAGTCGACGCATCTGCGTCAGTGAAACAGACATCTCTCCAAGGAAAGCTAGAGAAGAAGTCACTGAGCCCCTCCCAGTCGGCATGTCCGTAATGCCAAGTTTTGCGGCCTGTGCGAGTTTCTGCTGTTACAGCGGCTTCTGACCGAAACCTAACCTCCACAACACCGTGATCTGAATTACCCAGGGGGGACAGGACAGCAGTGCTGTAAGGGGCAGGATGCGTGGTCAGAAAGAGATCTAGCAGGCTACTGGCGTGTGACGAGACGCGGGGGAAAAAAGTAGGGCTCGTCACCAGCTGGGTCAGCCCTTGAGTAAGAGCGAACGCTTCGACTGCACGACCTGCTGCATCGGTCTTATTTGAGCCCAACCAAAGCTCATTATGGGCATTGAAATCACCGAGAAGAACTACCTCTGAAGCGGGGTGATTGATGTTCAGGAAGTCGATCTGGACGGCGAGGTATTCGAGTAGGTCATCCCAGTTATGGTTCGAGGGAGAGCGATAAAGGCAGCAAATACATTTGGGTGATGTTTTGGAGTTGAGGCGAAGCCACAGAATGTCCTTCCGGTCTGATTCCAAAGAAAGATCCCTGGAGCAGGAAAGACTGCTGCGGACAAAAGCCACAACTCCCCCGTTCTTTCTCAGATTGGAGTGCACCTCGTAGTTTGGGAAGTTGAGATGGTTAATCGGTGCAGTCTCTGAGATTTTTGTCTCCGCCAAGAAAAGCACGGCGGGACAATTGGATTGCGGCTAGTGATGAACAGCATCAATGTTGCTGTTGATCCCGCAGATGTTCGAAAAACAAATTTTATCTTCGATGTTGTTCCCTCAAGCCCACCCTCCACCCGGACATTCCGAGAGTGGAGTGAGTTTACGTCCGGAGTTTTTAGTGCTCGAGGGATCCATCATCATTAATTTCTTTGTTTTGGTAGATAACCGACTGCATAACTTAGGTGTGGAAACATGCGGACATTTATAAGACACCCTGGGAAAAGCTAGCGGGTTGTACTGCCTCGGTCGACTGGTCCTTGTCTACCACCTTCTTTTTACATATTAGTGATGTTAAATAGACCTAAAGTGGCCCGTTGGCGGACTTGTACCGCCACCCGGCAATCGGTACTGAGGTATTCCTTAACGCGTGCACAATCACTTGGTCGGGAAGAAGTTGTATACTGGATACAACAACTTCCGGAACAAGCATTTGCCACGGCCTTCGCTCAGTAGGGGCAGTGTCATAAATATAATGTCAAATTTTCAATACGGTCTATAAGGGAAACAACAAATCTGGTGATGGAAATCGAAAGCAGAAACGTCTAATTGAGAATTAGACTATGGCCTCTTGCCAAGAAGAAAGAGTGGTAAGGCTAATATGCAAATTATTGTAAAATTCCATTTCAAATAAACCAGGAAATAAATGCCGATATTTTAATAAATCCGGTATACAAAACAAATGTCTATCTGATAATTTAGACGCATAGAAATACTATTTTTTGAAATTACCAAGGTCCATGTATGACATACTATATATTTTTGGGATCAAAATTAAAAACTCTATCTATGCAAAAATCCAATATGGCGCCTATTAGAAAAAATGAAGTTGATGCTGGAGGACAAGAGACGAAACACCGTATTGAAATTATAATTACACCATCTTGTAGTGGAGAAAAAGTTGTAATGTTAGTCTGCAATGTATTTTGTAATCCTACTGCAAATAAAGTCAGGAAAACATATACATGAATTAAAACGATAATTGAAAACCCACAAAAAACGTTAAAGTGATATTCAGATACTCTTCAGAACATCTATGCATTCAATAATGTTGTTGTTGGTGATAAAGAGTTATCGCAACAGATAGAACATAGTAGTCACAAATAAATTATACGTCGTGTCCAACAAATATTTTTTTCAAACACAATAAGCAAAGTGGCGTAATGATAACTCCAATATGGCCACCGCCGCAAAATAGCGATGCACATTTTTTATAGTCATCTCTATGATATGGGTGTCAAATAAAAGGGCTTGATGAGAGAAACGCCAGTAACGCACAGTAACATTATTTTAAATCCAATATGACGGTCGCCCGAAGATGGCGTTTGTAATTAGTACTGTCACCTATGATGTAGGTATCAAATTAACGGGCTTTGTTAGAGAAACATAATAAGCAAATGATGGATATATCGATTTATCACTATATGATTAATATCCATCGATATATTATGATAC